GAAATAATCTCACTTACACTTGACTTATTAATTCCAGTTTCTTTTATTAGTCTGTAAAGCTGTCTTGTGTTCCCTATAGTCGCCGCCTTTTCCATCTCTTTTGCTTTCGTTACCCACCACTGCTCACGGTCGTTCCTTAGACTTTTTCTTAACCTAGATCTGATTTGTTTACGCTCTTCATCATGTTCAGAACCTGATGGGACGAGTTTGCGAGAATCCATCAGTGTGACAGACCTTGAAGAAATCCACTGGTTCCTTGTAACTCTGTGGTTTAAGTCACTAATAGATGTCACTGCTGTTTCCACAGCTGATTGTATGCCCTTCCAAGCAACATCTGGGTCAGCCTCGTCTTCACAACTACCTAAGTGTGACCTCAGTTGTTCCTGGAACCTACTTTTGGTTTTCTCGTTACTCAACTCAGTTCTAATGGGTCTTTTTAATGTGGCTTTTTTGCGTCCAGTGAGGCGCAAGCAGATGCGTGCCCGTATTAGGGCATGGTCGGAGTCCAAGCAGGTACTCCAGAATGAGCGACAATCTTCTACCGACCCTCTCCAACGATGACTGATGGCAATATGGTCTATTTGAGTCCATCGTTGGTTTGGTGTAGGGGGTCGCCATGTTAGACGATGTCTCTCCTTATGCTTAAAATTTGTGTTTGCTAAAAATAAACGATTGTCTGAGCATAGCTGCAGCAGACGATCACCATTATCTGTTCGCTGTGTCGGAATACTAAAATATCCACCTAAATGCCTTTCTGTTTGGTTTAAACTGCCTATCTGAGCATTAAAATCACCTGCTACGAGTACTATGTCTGAGCGTTTAGCTTTCTGAAGAAGTTCGGATAGCTTTCTGTAAAATTCATCTTTCACTTCATCTGAGCTGCAGTCAGTGGGAGCGTAGGCAGAAACGACAAAAAGGCAACGACGTGTGTCCCTATCCTTCCGAGTTCTTACGTAGCCGTTCAGCCGAACAGCACATAGACGACTGTTGACGGGGATCCACTCTAGCAGTGCTTGTTCGGCCCTCATGCTTAGTGCTATGCCTACACCTGCCAGTCCACGAGAACTTGCCATCGGGTCACCAGACACACGAAGGGTGTATCTCGTTGGCTCTCCGTCTTGCCGAGGTGAGGTCAAGTGAATGACCACACTGGAATCCTGTATGCGTGTTTCGGAGACACAGCATACATCAATGGAAAGAGACTCTAGGGTTTTAGCCAAGGAAGCCTGCTGACCGATTTGACATAGGGTGCGTACGTTGAAGGCTCCAATGTGTAGTTTGGAGCGAGGTTTCAGTAGACCTGGGACAGTGTTTTGCGCACTAGAATCGTTGGCTACGGTGACACTTGAGGTGGAAGCCGAGAGAGGAAATATAGAGTTGAAAGTCGATGTAGGAGGAATAATAGGAATTGAAGAGGAGGTTGATTATGAATACAGTGGTCTTGAGTGCTGTTAGAAGTATGAGGGCGGTTATCACTTCCCGGTTGCCCACACCGTGGAAGGGTTGTTCTGGAGGTACCTGAAAAGGAAATTGGATTAGAAGTGGTCTTAGTGACCTGAGAGCGTGACCGCAGTGCCCAAGGGACAACTGCTTGAGGTCGGTCACACACGACCTTGTTATGGGTAATTTTTGTGTTAGCTCCGTACTTATTGAGACCTTACCGCCGGAGACGGATATCCGTGGGATAAGGCGAGGTGTGCATTTTTAGGGTCGACCTTTTCTAACCCCACCCCTCCTTGTGGGAAGGCAGCATCGCTGTCATGCTGGTTGTCTGAAGGAAACACCTTACTGCTGTCACACCTCTGTACAGTCAGCAGTACGACTTCGCCTTCGGACCTTGGGTTTGTTGCTTTTAGTCTTACCGCTCTTCAACCGACCTGTCTGACATGGTAGGACCTTGAGGAACGGTTGTTCCAGCCAGTATAGCTCGGTTGCTTCATCACGATAGGCAAGCCCGACCACCACGTCAAGGTAGCAACAACGGTCGGAGGAATTTCCTACAGACGCAATTCTAAATTAACCCCAGACTGTCGAACATTGAGTCTTAGTTTGATCAAAGTTAGAACATGTAAGCTATTTGGCTTAATAAACTTTATCTGTCTCTAAAACGTAAATGAATACTGTTAGCATACAAAAAACAATTATTACAGTCTATTAAACAGGGGAAAGGAGTGATATAAATAACACACCGAACGGTAATTAGAGGATAAGAAAAAATGAGTCAACGAAACTTAATATCTTCAGTTTGGGGTTGTGGGGATTGTCGAATTTCCTTGAAATCATGAACTGATCAGTGTTAGACCACCATTAAAAACCTGGAAGCACTGGACAGCCGTTTGTCCTAGTATGGGACTCTCGGAGTTCTAGTGAGAATCCGTGAGCAGTGGAGTTCAACCGTGTCGGGTGTGAGGCAGTTACCGACCAAATACAATGAAAGATGGTCGCGTAACATCGTGCATTGGTTAAAGTTAGACATTGACATCTTTGGATGCCAACTCACTGGTCTAGAAGTTAAGCGTTCGCTGAATAGGTCACCAGGCGTTTGATTTATCCTCTCTGATAAAGTCCACAGATTCTAATATTAAGAATTCACTTTAACGTTTTAGTCACCACCGTCTCATAAATGTTACAAACTATGTGATATTGTTGATCTAAAAAGGTTCAAATCCCCAATCAACGGAGAGATCGGGATGAAGAGGTTAATTCCATGTTAGTTTTATAATAAAAACCCAAATAAATTACAGAATGAGCCTCAGGAAGTTAATCTGATGTATAAAAATTGGTCTCATAAATCACTGACAATCTGCATATAATCTGCATGGATATCGAAAACCCATGTCTTGTAGTGTCCATTATAATGAATAAGTATTAGTAAGTGATAGTAATAATAAGTATACCATAATATAATTAGAAGTTGGTTCTTGTTACGTATACACATTTCACTAATAGTTTCTTTGTTCTTTCCTTAATTCGTTTTTTAGTTAAGTCTTTTCTGTCGAAGTTTGGTAGCATTTTTCTCTGTTCTGATAACCATGATAAATTATTTCGTATGGTTCACCTGTACGATCCTACTTATTATTAGGTGTATTCAGTTTATCCGTATCAGTTGGAGACAGGTATCTAACTCAGACAATGGGAGATGTTCGCGCAGTTTCATGGATTGGTTGAAGCTAGACATTAACACCGTTGGATGCAGGCTCAATGGTCTAGAGTTGATGCATTTGCGCGTGACATCGAATTTCGTGGTTTTGAATCTCGCTTGCGGGATTGTGGGTGCGAACTGCTGACGAGTCCTGTACTGGTATGAAACGGCCGTCCAGTCCTTCCAGGTTTTCAATGGTAGTCTAACATTCCTTGGTTCATGATCTCAGTCAAAAGCTTAACGATCTCTACAACCCTACTCCGATAATTTGAAAGTTTTTATTGATGTGTCAGGATTCTCCCCATTTGCCCAGATATAACCAATTTTTCTCCCCCACGATCTTTAATTACGGCGTCTTGTAATGATTACCTTCCCACTGTCTATTCAAATTATATTCTCTAGGTTTTGTCTTTCATGTTATCTTCGCTACGATATTATTTCACTCACCTTTGTTATTTTCATCTCATTGTGCATACTGGATAAGGTAACTCGGGCTAACTCACGTTTCTTCTAAACTTTATTTTGATGATATACTTCGATGGATTTCTGTACAAGGTTCGACGTTGTTTCATTTCTTATCCATTTTTATCTTTTTTTGAAGATAATTTAAAATATTGGTGAGTAAAACAACTTATTAATGTCTACTTCAGACCGAGATTTCAGTGAAAATTCCGCACTTAAATTTCAAAAATATAAGTTCATTCTGAATATCAGACGTCATTAATTGATATCACTGGTGTGAGAATAAAAGAGAGTAGTTAATGGACGTGATATAGTGTCCGTAGTTATGGTATTTACTTTGCACTTTCGAAGTGCAAAGTACTTTTACAAGACCGGCAGGAATCTGATCCTTTACTCACCCTGGGTAGTGAGCAGATAGAAGTAGTCGAGAAGTTCGTCTATCTAGGAAGCTGCATAAGTGCTGGTGGTGGCGTGAGTGATCAGATCAATCCACGTATAGCGAAAGCCAGAGCGGCTTATGCCAATCTGGGCCATCTTCGGCGCCTCCGTGATGTTAGTCTGACTGTAAAAGGTCGGGTCTACAACGTGTCGGTGAGAGCAGTTCTTCTCTAGGCTTGTGAAACCTGCCCTCTCCGAGTTGAGGATGTTAGACGAATCTCTGTGTTTGATCATCGTTGTCTCCGAAGGATTGCTTACATCCAGTGGCGACACCATGTCAGTAATGAAGAGGTTCGGCATCGTGTGTTCGGGCACAGAGACGATAATGCAATTGGTGTCACCATCTTGAAACACCGACTTCGGTGGCTTGGACATGTTCTACGAATGTCGTCCCAGAGAATTCCACGTCGTGCATTATTTGCCGACTCTGGGACTGGTTGGAAGAAGCAGAGAGGTGGCCAGTGTATGACATGGTGTCGTGGTGTGAAAGAAAGCTGCAAAGGGCTGGCTTATGTTGGTCCTTCACGACTCCCTGGTTGGGGTCTGAGAGATGGTGCAACACAGTGGCTTGAGATTTTATCGGACATCAGTCAGTCAGCTACAACGTAGGACCAGGCACATTTATGCATCGGTCCAAGTTGCCATACCTCACTAACACAACAAGATGAACATCGGACATGGCTCAGAATAGAAGTCGGTGGCGATCCTGCTGCAACTTTCTTTTACTCTCTTCACAAAAATGAACGTGTTCAAATAAATAAATATCACTGGAAACAACAATCGTTTCTCAGTTAAGTTTAACTGAATAAGAATTAACCATTTACTATTGTTAAACTGTTATATAGCATTAGATATTTTTTAAATTTTTCATCTGAAATACAAACTTTACTGCTTATGTTTGCTAGCTAGTACCTTCTGTCGTCAAAATAATCTAGGTGTATTTCTCTGTGATTTGTAGATCACTCTGAAAAGAAGCAGCTTGCTACTGATGCCATGTATCATTTGGAGCACAATGTAACTGACAAAAGGAAAGCAAGTGAGATCATACCAGCAATTCAAGAAGTCCAGATTGATCGTTTGAAACACGAAGATGACTTTACTTTGAATCAAATTGCTCGTAAAAAGTTTCGTGTATGCTTTGTGTTATTTTAAAAAAAATGTCTTTCAGGTCGTTATACTTTTCAATATTATAATCATAGTACACTGACCCAACTCCGCCTGTAAGTCCTAGAGTTACTGCTGGTCCCAAGCCCTGGTGAAGGAGCAGTGTTGGGCATGCGTTTGGCAACCCCATCCCGTAGAAAAAACCTTGTTGAAAAACGCTAGCCAGAATGAACAAATTAAACCATTTAAACTCTCTCCTGGGACTTGAAGCAAGAATTATGACGCAGAGATTTTTCGGAAATCATGAGGCCGATACCTACGAAAATGAGGAGATACAAATTTGGCGGTACTCGAAATAAGTGAAACACATTGGATCCAAACAGGACATCAAAGGTTAGGTACGGAAGAGATGCTTCTGTACTCCGGTCACGAGAAGGAAAATACACCCCACTTAGGGAGTTGCTCTGATGCTGTTAAAAATCCTCGAAATGCATTTATTGGGTGGGAATCTCATGAACCTAGGATCATCAAAGCATCGTTCAAGACGAAGGAGGGAATTACAATGAATGTTCTTCAGTGTTATGCACCCACCAATGATAGCGATGACGATGATAAAGATCAGTTTTACGAGAGGCTCCAATCCTGACCGTTGCTGCTGCCTTGGTGTGGTGGTCAAGCTTGCCTGTCGTACTGAACTAATCGAGCTATACTGGCTGGAACAATCGATCCTCAAAGTCCTACGTGCCTGACAGGTCGGTTGATGAGCGGTAAGACTAAAAGCAACAAATCCAAGGTTCGAAGGCGAAATCGTACTGCTGACTCTATATAGGTGTGACGGCAGTAAGGTATTTCCTTTAGACAACCATCATGACAATGATGCTGCCTTCCCACAAGGAGGGCTGGAGTTTGAAAAGTCGACTCCAAAAATGCACACCTCGCCTTATCCCACGGATAACCGTCTCCGGTGGTAAGGTCTCAACAAACACGGAGCTAACACGAAAATTACCCATAAAAAGGGCGTGTGTGACCGACCTCAAGCAATTGTCCCTTGGGTACTGGGGTCATGCTCTCAGGTCACTAAGAACACCTTTAATCCAATTTCCTTTTCAGGTACCTCCAGAAGAACCCTTCCACAGTGTGGGCAACCGGGAGGTGATAACCGCCCTCATACCTCCAACAGCACTTAAAGACCACTGTATTCATAATCAATCTCCCTCTTCAATTCCTATCATTCCTCTCACCTCGACTTCCAACCTCAAACTTCCTCTTTTGGCTTCCTCCTCAAGTGTCACCCTGGCCAACGATTCTAGTGAGCGAAACACTGTCACAGGTTTACTGAAACCTCTCTCCAAGCTACACATTGGAGACTTCAACGTAAGCACCCTATGTCAAATCGGCCAGCAGACCTCCTTGACTAAGACCTTAGAATTTCGTACCATTGATGTATGCTGTGTCTCCGAAACACTCATACAGGATCCTAGTGTAGTCATTCACTTGACCTCACCTCGCCAAAACGGATATCCGACGAGATACACCCTCAGTGTATCTGGCGACCCGATGGTTGGTTCTCTTCGACTGGCAGGTGTAGGCATAGCACTAAGTACGAGGGCAGAAAAAGCACTATTAGAGTGGATTCCCGTTAACAGTCGCCTATGTGCTGTTCGGCCAAACGGCTGAGTAGGAATTCGGGAGGATAGGGACGCACGTCATTGTCTTTTCGTCATTCCTACCATTTAGGTGGGTATTTTAGTATCACGGCTCAGCAAACAGATAACGGTGATCGTCTGCGGCAACTGTGCTCAGACAATCGTTTATTTTTGGCAAGCACAAATTTTAAGCATAAGGAGAGACATCGCCTAACCTGGCGACCTCCTGCACCAAACCAACGGTGGACTCAAATAGATCATATTGCCACCAGTCATCTTTGGAGAGGGTCGATAGGAGATTGTCGCTCGTTTTGGGATACCTGCTTGGACTCCGACCATGCTCTAATACAGGCACGCATCTGCTTGCGCCGCACTGGACGCAGGAAAGCCACATTAAGAAAACCCATTAGGATTGAATTGAGTGACGAGAAGGTCGAACCAGTGAGGTCTCATTTAGGTAGTTCTGAGAACGAGGCTGACCCAGATGTTGCTTGGAAAGGCATACAATCAGCTGTGGAAACAGCAGTGAAATATGTTAGTGACTCAAACCAAAGGGTTACAAAGAACCAATAGATTTCTTCTAGGTCTACTGCACTGATAGATTCTCGTAAACTCATCAAATTTGGATCCGAACACGATGAAAAACGAAAACAAGTCAGATATAGGTTAAACAACAATGCCAGGCTGTTTGGGATGCGTTTCATCACCTCTAAATGAAAGTTGTTGCTCCAGGACTGGTCTGTGTCAACACCTGGACTAAGGATAGGGAGTGAAGTAGTCGAACGCGTCGACAACTTCACTTATCTTGGAAGTCTGATCAGCCCTAATGGGTTGGTATCGGACGAAATCTTAGCACGGATTCGAAAAGCTCGCTTGGCTTTTGCCACCTTACGTCACCTATGGCAAAGGCGAGATATCCGTCTATCAATAAAAGGACGAGTATACTGCGCGGCAGTCTGTTCTGTCTTACTTTACGGCAGCGAAACATGGCCTTTGAGAGTAGAAGACACTCGTAAGCTACTAGTATTTGACCACAGATGCCTTAGAAATATTGCTCGCATCTGCTGGGATCATCGGGTAAGTAATAGTGAAGTTAGACACAGGGTATTAGGGAATGATGGTAGATCCGTTGATGAGGTTGTAAATCTTCATCGACTGAGACGGTTGGGCCATGTGTTACATATGCCTGAACACCGATTACCACGACGCGCAATGCTGGTTGGAAGAAAGTAAGGGGTGGCCAAACCAAAAAGTGGCATCAGTGCTTGAAGTCACTAACTGCTAGTCTGAGCCATGTTGGTAGATGCAGACTACTTGGTTGGTGTACGCGTGACTGTCGTAACCAATTGTTGGAGACTCTTGGTGACATGGCTCAGAATCGATCACAATGGCGTCGGTGTATACACTTTCTTTCTTCCTTTAAACTATGAGATTAAAATTATTTCATATCTTTCTTTCTATGCTATATCCTTACATAAAATCTTCCCTTTATTTATTACACCATTTAGTTAACTTTTTCTATGAATCCGGTGTTCGTCTTGCTGTGCTAATGAGGTGTAGCAACTTGTACCGATGCATGTATTTTCCTGGTTCTACGTTGTAACTGACTGACTGACTGACTGATTCCTTGAAAGCCCCGACTTTAAGGACAAGTAAAATCAATGAGTCACAACGTGGGACTTGTACCTATGTACATCAATTCAGGTTGCCATACCCGATTAGCACAGAGATCTCAGGTCAGGTAAAGTCCCAGATTAGTATAGATAGTTACAGTATCAGTCGTAATAGGAGAGATTAGGCATCGAAGATACGACTCGAGAAGAAAATATAAATTAGTGAGACAAAAACAAAAAAGAGTGATGGGGAATTTAGTGTCTCAGAGTTTGGTGGAAGACAAGGAATGGATCTACCTACACCACTGGAGACAATTTTGAGCATTGTTATTCAAAATTTGTAACCATTGGTTACGATAATCACGCAGACCCAAACCTGGTTGTCGGCATTTACTAAAATGGCTTAGTCCAATCTTCTGTGAATTCATAAACTGACTCCATGTATCGGTTTGACCGCCCCTAACTTTCTTCCAACCTACTCCTGCACCAGAAAACATCGTCCACCGAGGTAGGCGATGGTTGATTATACATAACACATCCCGATCACCTTAGTTGATGAAGATTTAATACTCATCTATCGATTTCCCGTCTTTACTTAGTACTTGGTTTTTAACCAGGCATTACTTACTCTATGGTCCCAAAATGTGCGAACATTGCTTCATAGACACCTGTGATTAAATACCAGTAATCTGTGAATATCCTCTACTATCAATGGCCATGTTTCACATCCATAAAGCAGAACGGAGCGAACTGTTGTGCAGTAAACTCACCTTTTGGCTGGATGACAGATATCTCGCCTACACTACAAGTGACGCAAGTTAGAAAAAGCCAATCGAGCCTTCTGAACCCGTACCGAGATTTCGTCAGAAATCAGAACATCAGCACTGATGAGACTCCCAAGATAAGTGAATTGATCGATGTGTTCAACTAATTTATTCCTTATCAGTAATTTAGGGGTGACAATCCAATCCTGAAGTAATATCTTACATTTGGAGGGATAGAACTGCACCTCAGACATACTTGCATTATTGCTTAAGGTGGCTAGAAGACTTCATTTTATCAGTCTTCACTAAAGAGAACTACATCATCTGTGTATTTTTCAGATGTTTCAGCCCCCACAATAGATTGCCGAGATGAAACTGAAGCTAAAGAAACACCGGGCAACTTGGGAAACAGCATTATAAAGTTTCAATACAGCCTTCCTTTGAGATACTGACAAACCCAACGAATTCAAGATAACTCCCAGCATCAGACTCCAAGCCTTATAGGATCTACTGAACGAAGAAACTGTTATGGAGGACAACTGTTAAGGGACTAGGGAAGTTTTAACTTCAACATGTCAGAAGGTTCTGCGTCGCAAGAAGCATCATCATAAGGAATGGATCTCTATGGAAACCCTGGACAGGATTCAAGGAAGGAATAACAAGAAGACAGCAATTAACAACAACAAAACAAGAACAGAGAAATTCAAAACACACAGCGAATGTCACTTGTTGACTTGGAATATGCCGATGACATAGTTCTATTTGGCGAAGACGCTGACAAAATGCCGAGTCTTCTGACCACTCTAAGCAACAATGCAAACATGTTCGGCATGCGATTCTCCCTCTCGAAATGCAAAGTGTTGCTACAGGATGGGTTGCATCGACACCCGAACTATTGATAGGGAGTGGAGTAGTTGAGCGTGTCGACTGTTTCACTTGGGAATATGATCAGCCCTTGTGGTCTGGTGTGTGACTAAATCTCAGCACGTATACAGAGGGCTCGACTAGCTTTTACCAACTTGCGTCATTTATGGCGTAGGCGAGATATCCGTCTATCAACCAAAGGACGTGTTTACTGCGCAGCAGTTCGTTCCGTCCTATTTTATGGCAGTGAAACATGGTCGGTAAGAGTAGAGGATATTCGTAGGTTACTAGTATTTGATCATAGGTGTCTTCGAAACATTGCTCGTATATCCTGGGACCATCGAGTAAGTAATGCAGTTGTTAGGAAACGGGTACTAGGTAAGGATGACAAATCAATTGATGACGTAGTGAAACTTCATCAGTTGAGATGGCTGAGACACGTGTTACGTATGCCCAACTACCGACTGCTCCGACGTGTGATATTGAATGGTGTAGGAGTAGGTTGGAAGAAAGCTGGGGGAGGCCAGACCAAAACATGGCACAAGTTCATGAAGTCACTGACAAGTGGTCTGAGTCATGTCAGTAGGTGTAGACTACCTGGTTGGGGACCGCGAGATGATAGCAACCGATGGTAAGAGACCCTGAATGACATGGCTCAAAATGGTTTGCAATGGCGCAGGTGCATCCACTCTTTGTGTTCTCCCAAATTCTAATCTCCTGATTCCTCCTTGTCTCTTTCTTTTCTCTTCCCAAATTTATTTCACTGGATTATACTCCTTAAATAACATCTCCAAACCCTAATCTTTCCGACTACTACTTATACTCTTACTACCTCTACCACAATGGGATTTGAATCGACCACTGCATCTCTGTGCTAATGTGGTATGGCAACTCGAACTGATGTATGTACGTACGAAGTTCTACGTTGTTACTGACTGACTGAACGATCGAATAAATCAGGATGGCCATCAGACAAGTCAAGAGTCGGAAGACAACAGGATCTGACAACGTACTAGCCGAAGCACTGAAGTGAGATTTAGTAGCAACTGCAAACATGCTCTACGTTCTATTCAACAAGATGTGGGAGGACGAACAAGTGTTGACAGACTGGAGAGAAGGATACCTCATCAAGATACCAAAAGAAGGAGATCTGAGCAAATGTGAGTACTACAAAGTCGTGACTCTACTATCAGTACCAGCAAAAGTTTTCAAAAGAGTGTTGCTAAACCGGATGGGAGATTCAGTAGACGTCCAACTTTGAGATCAACAGACCGGATTCCATAAGGATCGATCGTGCACTGACAAAGTGCGATACTATGGATCACCGTTGAACAGTCAGCTGAGTGGAACTCGTCACTATACATCAACTTCATTGACTCTAAGGAAGTGTTTGACAGTATGGATAGGATGACCTTGTGGAACTCTCTTCGACATTATGGTGTACCTGTGAAGATCGTAAATATCATACGGAATTCATAAAACGGACAACTCTGCGAAGTCGTTCATGGAGGGTATCTCGTAGATCCATCCCAAGTGAGGACTAGAGTCAGACAAGGCTGCTTATTCTCAGCCTTTCTTTTTTTCTGGTGGTCGACTGGAATATGAAGACCTCGACATCAGAGGGGAAGCATAGAATACACTGTACAGCTTACATGCAACTAGACGATTTGGAATTCGCAGATGACCTAGCTCTTCTATCCCAAATGAAGTTGCAGTCTGCTAATTTACTGACTATCAGCAGCCTCCAAAATAGTAGGTGTCGACGTAGACAATTGGAAGAGAAGCAGAAAAGAGGCTTGTCAAAGTCGGTAGTCGTAAAGAGACATCTAAAGATTAAGTAGCATCTCGAAAGAATCACCCATTTTAGTGTTCGATGGATAGTGCTCTTATGTGGCCTAAGCCCCTCCATGAGGGGTATCAGGTGTAGGTTAGTAAGTACAGTGGCCTGTAAATTTTCGTACGTCAGTTGTGCTGAATTAGAAGTGAACAACGTAAAATACGGACAATATTATCTTAAGATCTTTTATCTTAGTAACTAATAAACTGTCAGATTACCTTCCTGCTTTTGGAGTTCTGACTTTTGATAATTGTATTCAGTTTGTCCTCTATCAGTTCTCTCTATATATGTTTCATTGGCCATAAACGAAACGAAATTCCAAATTACTTTATTCAGTGAGTTTTTTCTTAGTTGCTTTCAACTCATAAACTTTTTTTACTTTAGGAAGCCAAAAAGCAATCTGAGGAAAAATTGGTCAGAGATAACTCTCTCTTAAAGCGCTTGTCACTAACTGGGTCTCACGTTGAACTTCTTCCAGAAACTGAGGACGACTCAACTATGGCAAAAGTTATGTTCCTTACACATTCGAAACGTAGTAAGTTTTTTTAATATGAACCATGTGCATCGTTTATAAGTTCCCATATAATGTTAGTAACACGTTTATTTGTTGTGTGCTGTTGAAAAATGTAATTGAAATAATAATAATGCAAATTATTAATCAGTTACAGTAGGTATTGTTAGCGTAATGTGGATTGGTTTTAAGTATGTTCCATACAGGATTGTGTTGGGGCATGGTCATTGGCTATTTCTGAGCCAACCAGCGCTAGTGGATACTTAGAGAGGACTCTAGAATCTTCTTGTATAAATAAATACAATAACGTTTTTCTTATAGCGATTCCTACTTCCACTCAACCTTTGTTTATTTGGAATATAATTACGTTCCACCCCATCCATATTCTGATTTAGGGGTTTATCGGGTGAAGTAAAGTGTCCTAAAAATACTACGCAATAGGAATAGCTGGGTTTTAATAAGCGAGATCATAACCAGGTGACCATTATTTTCACTAATCTGAAGTATTGGTCTAAGCGCTTCAATGAACGGATATCAGATGACAAAATAAATGGTCACCAAAACTGCTTAGTTTTATATTCCGAAATTACACAGTTATATCCAGAATTTTTAGCGTTAATATGAACAGTTAAAATACATTTAAAAAACAACAATAATTGTAGGGTTTATATTTCGTGGGTCATTCACTAGCCTGTAAAATTAATAAATAATTGTCAGACTTGCTCCTCGCTATATCATAACCAGTTACATATTTGCGCTTGCTGATTGTTTGCCCAAACCGAAGTATTTGGGGGATGGTTTTTAGGCCGCAACTCAGTGTTTGGAATCCGATCTATAAAACCGGTGAATTACCTAATCATTTCTTCGCTCTTAGCGCTGCTTGTAAAATAGGGATCAATTTTGTCAACAGTAAACCAGGTGAAGACGGTAAATATACGGGTGCTATGTTAATAATATGTTCAAAACCTGAAGCGTGACAAAGTAATGTTTGCATTAATTGCACTGAATTTAACCACTTCACGTATTATTTGTATTTTACGTAAATAGATGTAAATATATCCATATACCAATGTATCCTGGAAGTTTTACTACTAATATTTGAATTTAATGAATCCGAAAATATACAATCGTTCGATGCAGCGGTATTTAAATCACAGTTCTTATTTTCCTTATTTTTTTAAAATTATCTGATTCTTACTTTGCTTTTAAACTTGCTTACAGTCAACTAATCATACCACACTACGTAGCAAGTTCTCCGTCATTTCAGTTGTTCTGACCTGAAGCAGATAGCGACCAGTCAACTAAAATCTTGTTTACCTCCCATATTTTGATTAATATAAATCATTTTTCAGTACGAAGTGACCACCTGGAAATCGGGGAGCACTAGATGTCTATCTAATTTTTGCTAGGGAATCTCTTGTAATTCGCATCCATGACTTTCGAGTATCGGTGAATACAATACTTTTAGGTCCATTTCCAAGATCAACTATAGACTATGTGTATAAACATGTGCGTTATTCTAATGTTTTGTGGGTATGTTAAAAATTCCTCACTAATATCAGTCTTATTTTCGCACTTCCCGAACAGGTCAGAAGTATGTACCTGTGTATAGTTTTTATGTACTAAATTTATAAATCGTGGAGCTGTGGTTCAGTCTACGCAACTCTACAGTGGCTCGTCGTTTACTGGGTTCCAAACATAGGTCAAGTTTTCGAGTGGGTTCAAACCTTGTGAAGCATTATAACCTACTGAACGTTTCTTTCAATTAAACCTAATCTTGTATAATGCTGTTAGTTAGACTTTAAGAGTTTGGTATGAAAATGTTTCCAGGTTTTAAAACGCTTCACATCCGTGGTAAACAAACAATTTATAACCATTGGGTTAGAGGTTGAGATTTGGTCCCATCTACTTCATTCTGTGGAGTTTAAGAGTAGACTTTAGTTGAACATAATTCTGTCACCAATTATTTCTACCCGTACTAAATTGTGAGCAACAATTAGTGTTCAAGATCCTATTGGAATATCCTTACCTTATTTATTTTGGCCGACATTTTACACTATTGTGTCGGACCCACAATGTAGTACAGTACTTGGCGTAAAGTAAATTTTAGTGCTGATTATAAACGGCTTTCCATGACCATAAACACTTCTTCATCACATTAGGCCCGATTATCAAAGTTGTTCTTATCGACTATCACTTCTAATGTTTTTACTCCTCAACTCAATACTAACCAGTTTATGTGATATTACAGCTGCGTGACACTGATTTCATAAAAATACCATTATAAATAGTCTGGATTGCAATCTCAGGCTTCTTTTTATAAATTTCCTCCCATTAACGGGTAAAATTTATAATTATATATCTATCTGTTCATAGTTTAATAATGAGAGCACGAATGTTAAGTACATCATGAAATTTCCTTTGTTCTACAGAAGTCATGGCGAGTGGTTTCGAAATCCACGTGCACCCTAGAGTAGTCAAAGTTCGTTTCACTTATGAATATCCTCAACTTTATAAGTATCTGGTGTATTGTACTTCCAACCTTTTTTTTAAACTTCAGATATAACCGCAAATCCTTTGAATTCTACGTCTCTCATTCGTAATAGAAACTCACATGTGCCAGCTTCTAAAGCCAAAAGTGCATCGAAAGCTGATAACATCAAAAAGTCAACTATATCAACGTTAAAAAAGACTCCAAGGATGTCGATGGATCCGATTATCTATCGTCCTTGTAAAAGTAAGAAACTAATTAACAAGTCTGGGGACTCTGGAATTGAAGAAAGTGAATCCTCTCTTTCAACTCCCAATCGCTTTTGTAATCACGTGACAGATAGTCCTGTCGAACTGGTGACCTATGAAAGTAGTGATGACTCACATAGCAATATTGACGTTTAACCTTACACGTTTGGTCAAGTAAAACGGATCTCGCTTCATTCATGCTCTGTGTGAGATCAGTGGGTTGGAGTTATGAACCAAACACCTTATTTTAAATTTGCAGAAGGAGCAAGTACATGTGGAAGGTATTCATGCTCTCCACGTTGGCACGTTTGAGATATTCATTTTAAAGACTTTTGTACCTTATTTTGTTCAATAAAATACTCTTATATTCATTTTTACGTTTTAGCATTATAGTACTTGACAATTTTGATTTTATTGCATGCTTCTCCCAATCATTTTTGCACTATGTAACAGCACTTATTCTAAGGCAAAATCAAACCTCACTTTTACCCAGGAAATGGTTATTATATCTTACTGTTAGTGAAACAATCTCAGAGAAAGATGGACATATTATACATTCTCAATCCAGGAGATTGGATCGATGGGCAGAACACTTCAGGGATCAGTTCAACTGGCCTTCAGCCACACTTCGGTTTCCCACGATCTCCAGTCAACCTGAATGGCAAGTTAATGTAGGTCCTCCGCTCTTTACGAAGTTGAAAAAGCCATAGGAAATCTGAAGCGAGGGAGAGCAGCAGGCCCTGACAGGTTTACTCCTGAGATTTTTAAGGATGGTGGTCCAGTATTAGCAGTGAGATTAACTGAGGTCTTAGGTAGAATTTGGGAACTGGACGTAATCCCATCTGACTGGTCTCAATCACTGATTGTGCCAGTCTATAAGAAAGGACAAAAGTCCTCTTGTGACAATCACAGAGGAATCAGTTTGACTAATATAGTGTCTAAAATATTAGCTTCAATAATACTTCGACGCCTAACTAAAGCTCGTGAAGAGCAGACTAGAGAAAACCAGGCTGGTTTTCGACCTGGACGTGGTTGTATAGATCAGATATTCACACTACGTCAGGTTCTAGAACACAGACACACATTCAGACGCCCCACAATGGTAGTATTTCTCGACCTTAAGGCGGCATTCGACTCTGTTGATCGTAAGGTTCTATGGCAGTGTTTGTCACTGAAAGGAGTACCAAAGAAGTACATTAACCTTATAAAGGCTCTCTACTCGAACACAACTGGTCGAGTGAGAGCTTATGGCGAACTGTCATCAGAATTGATTACCTCAAGTGGTGTTCGTCAGGGCTGTCCAATCTCCCCATTCTTGTTCAACTTTGTGATCGACGTACTTTTAGAGATAACACTCTCATCATCTAAATTTCCAGGGGTTGAACTTCTACCGGGAGGTTCACTTGTTGACTTAGAATATGCCGATGACATAGTTCTATTTGGCGAAGACGCTGACAAAATGCAGAGTCTTCTGACCACTCTAAGCAACAATGCAAACATGTTCGGCATGCGATTCTCCCTCTCGAAATGCAAAGTGTTGCTACAGGATTGGGTTGCATCGACACCCGAACTATTGATAGGGAGTGGAGTAGTTGAGCGTGTCGACTGTTTCACTTGGGAATATGATCAGCCCTTGTGGTCTGGTGTGTGACTAAATCTCAGCACGGATACAGAAGGCTCGACTAGCTTTTACCAACTTGCGTCATTTATGGCGTAGGCGAGATATCCGTCTATCAACCAAAGGACGTGTTTACTGCGCAGCAGTTCGTTCCGTCCTATTTTATGGCAGTGAAACATGGTCGGTAAGAGTAGAGGATATTCGTAGGTTACTAGTATTTGATCATAGGTGTCTTCGAAACATTGCTCGTATATCCTGGGACCATCGAGTAAGTAATGCAGTTGTTAGGAAACGGGTACTAGGTAAGGATGGCAAATCAATTGATGACGTAGTGAAACTTCATCAGTTGAGATGGCTGAGACACGTGTTACGTATGCCCAACTACCGACTGCTCCGACGTGTGATATTGAATGGTGTAGGAGTAGGTTGGAAGAAAGCTGGGGGAGGCCAGACCAAAACATGGCACAAGTTCATGAAGTCACTGACAAGTGGTCTGAGTCATGTCAGTAGGTGTAGACTACCTGGTTGGGGACCGCGAGATGATAGCAACCGATGGTAAGAGACCCTGAATGACATGGCTCAAAATGGTTTGCAATGGCGCAGGTGCATCCACTCTTTGTGTTCTCCCAAATTCTAATCTCCTGATTCCTCCTTGTCTCTTTTTTTCTCTTCCCAAATTTATTTCACTGGATTATACTCCTTAAATAACATCTCCAAACCCTAATCTTTCCGACTACTACTTATACTCTTACTACCTCTACCACAATGGGATTTGAATCGACCACTGCATCTCTGTGCTAATGTGGTATGGCAACTCGAACTGATGTATGTACGTACGAAGTTCTACGTTGTTACTGACTATTATATCTTACCATATAAGCATGGTTATTTAGACAGTAGCACGACCGAAACCATGTCCTTTCGTGTGCAGAGCAATGCACTACGATTAAGGTTTTACGATGAAATTGAATAAAACGAATGGTGAAATATGTTTCACTTAAATAAGCACCAATTTTTTAATTCCCAAATGGTTTAGGCGTGCTAAACTACACATCTTTCCTTGTTTCTTGACTTTCTGTTGATGATGCTGCAAGCCCTAACGCACCCAACTTGAATCCACTCAGCAGTATGTAAGTTTGTTCAGACATTTGTTGCTCAGTATACACTATTTCCGATGGATAAATAAAACTGCCTTTTACAGTTCCCGAGATTTCCAGTAAATTATGTTTGCAATATCAAGGATTAAGAGAATACGCATAGAATTAATTTTTGTCTCAGATTTGGAATGATGTTATTTTTCCACTTATGTGTGAAGATTTTTTGAAATTTATATGTGACCTTCACACTTCTTACTAAGACCTCATTTGATGAAATTGTTCTAAATAACAAATCTAAACTGATATAAGAAGTCATTTGTAATGTAGCCGTGAACGTCAGTAATGTTCACCAGAAATGACTATAACGTTACAGCCATGTATTAATGTTCAGTTTCATGTTAGCGATGCAAATAGGCTTTCCTATTTACTAGTCAATCAGTCATGAATTATGCGGCACCCAGTTTATGACCTAATAAACGGACTAAAATCTTCCATTTAAACATTTTAGTCCATCTAAAGTTTCTGTCACATCTCATTAAATGCAGAAGTGTGGTTTGATTTATTTATTGTGGGACAGTTCTTGTAAATGTTTCTCTTCAAAATAAAATTGACTCGTCTACCAGGTACTGGGCTATAAACCACACTCTAAGTGTGAGGGCTAATGACAGCATCCGGCTCTTTAGACTGAAGTATGTTGGTCAGGGTTCTAACCTGGGAATTAGTGGCTAGAAGTTGGAAGTCTTAACTACTAAGCTGCTTTCATTATGATATCATAAGGGAAGTAAATCCGAAATACTTTAACCACGACATATCAGTTTGTGTATATGAAGAAAATAGTAAAGCCGTCTTTCAATGATTTTGTTAATTGCGCACCGCTTGTGTGTTGTACAGATTCATAAAACTTTTGCTATGTTTTATTATCAGTAGTATTACATTACTTCAGTATTATTAAATTTTTTCAGCTGCATCGCTTGTATGACAGATTCAAATATTTTGAAGCGTGTTTGGGAGGGTAAGGTTCCAGCTTGCTTTACGTTGGCACAAGAGGATTTGGCGCATGAAGATCATGCTCCTCCGCCTATATATGTGAGTTTATAAAATGTTATTTCTCAGACTGATTTGTCATAAATCTTTGATTTATATATCTTCAGCGGTTGTTTCTATTTATTTAAGGCGAAAGTATTTGAAACTTTTGAACAGGCGTTTTACACTATAATCAAGAACCTGATATAAGTACTCTGTAGTCTATCAAATAAGTCTCGTGTTTTATTCATATATATATATATGGGTCAGGCTTCGTTGGAGACTTGAAGTTTATTAGGAAATTTTATCTGTCGTTATTAGCTTTTAATAATTGATTTACTGAAAAGTTTTATAAATTAGTGTATTGGTTCAAATTATTATCAGATTTCCAGTTTTCTCAACCCAGCTATATCGAATGTCGACTCAAAATTCGGTTCTAGATATTATGAATCTAAATAGCTACGAACGTTATCAAACATGCCTTAACTTAGTAGCCAGTGACTATCCTGCCCTGGTTTGTATCACATTCTTCCTGAACTGTAAAATACACCTAGTGGCTGAACAATATTGATCTTTGTTATGCTCTTACTTGGACTGTATTTTTCAGGCCTCATTTTGTCTTTATGACATCCTTATTGTATTACATCATAAAAATTACATAAGCTAATATCCACCTAAAAATGATTCAACGTTGTCTACAGCAGTGCATACCAGTATATCCTTATCAGTATACAATTTGTGAACGTCAGTTCTCCCAGTTGTTACTTAACTTTTAATACATTGCAGCTTTGTGTCAGTAAGCATAATTTATATAAATGTTTTTGTCTTGAAATAATTTTTCTCTCCTATAGATGTTCCTTCCTCGTGTTTCTTATTTTCCATTGGTTACTGAAAAAGTTATACGACAATTCAGTCAGTTTTCTGAATGTGCACTCAAGACTGCATCCAAAGATATGACCTCTGAGACACGGGGCAAATTAGAACATGAAATGCAATATACTCAATCCGATCAGATTGATACTTTCAAACAGCATCCTTTAATACACGAATTTTGGCTTGAATATGCTCATCAACCCTTGAAATGGTATGAAATATTGTTTAAAAAATTTGCTACCTTATTTATTATTAGTTAAACCACAAATTTTCCAATTGACTTGTGAATCATTTTAACTGAGGCATCAAAACTCCAATTAATTAATGCACGATCTATGACTGTCTTTGACCAAACCAACTACTTTCATTTCAAGACGTATAGTTTCTTGTAACATTTGACGATCTAAAAAAGTATGACTTCAATGTAGTTTGTCTTTAGGAATCAATTTCCTACAGACGCAATTCTAAATTAACCCCCAGACTGTCGAACATTGAGTCTTAGTTTGATCAAAGTTAGAACATGTAAGCTATTTGGCTTAATAAACTTTATCTGTCTCTAAAACGTAAATGAATACTGTTAGCATACAAAAAACAATTATTACAGTCTATTAAACAGGGGAAAGGAGTGATATAAATAACACACCGAACGGTAATTAGAGGATAAGAAAAAATGAGTCAACGAAACTTAATATCTTCAGTTTGGGGTTGTGGGGATTGTCGAATTTCCTTGAAATCATGAACTGATCAGTGTTAGACCACCATTAAAAACCTGGAAGCACTGGACAGCCGTTTGTCCTAGTATGGGACTCTCGGAGTTCTAGTGAGAATCCGTGAGCAGTGGAGTTCAACCGTGTCGGGTGTGAGGCAGTTACCGACCAAATACAATGAAAGATGGTCGCGTAACATCGTGCATTGGTTAAAGTTAGACATTGACATCTTTGGATGCCAACTCACTGGTCTAGAAGTTAAGCGTTCGCTGAATAGGTCACCAGGCGTTTGATTTATCCTCTCTGATAAAGTCCACAGATTCTAATATTAAGAATTCACTTTAACGTTTTAGTCACCACCGTCTCATAAATGTTACAAACTATGTGATATTGTTGATCTAAAAAGGTTCAAATCCCCAATCAACGGAGAGATCGGGATGAAGAGGTTAATTCCATGTTAGTTTTATAATAAAAACCCAAATAAATTACAGAATGAGCCTCAGGAAGTTAATCTGATGTATAAAAATTGGTCTTATAAATCACTGACAATCTGCATATAATCTGCATGGATATCGAAAACCAATGTCTTGTAGTGTCCATTATAATGAATAAGTATTAGTAAGTGATAGTAATAATAAGTATACCATAATATAATTAGAAGTTGGTTCTTGTTACGTATACACATTTCACTAATAGTTTCTTTGTTTTTTCCTTAATTCGTTTTTTAGTTAAGTCTTTTCTGTCGAAGTTTGGTAGCATTTTTCTCTGTTCTGATAACCATGATAAATTATTTCGTATGGTTCACCTGTACAACCCTACGTGTTTGTAGCTGTATGACTGCAAAATATTTCCCGAATTGCTTCGTTTGCTCTGTGATGTTCCGGACATCATATAACGTAGTAAAGATTTAAGTATTTCACATTGTTTAGCTTTCCTAATAAACTTGAATGTTCATATTTTGTATGAAGTAATTACCTGCGGGTGGATTTCTTTATTAAATTCCCGTGCTGTCGCACACGGAGTCTTAGCAGAGTTATAGTCATCAAAACAGGTAACTATTTACCTAACAATTAGAATTTGTTTCTAAAATATCTATTAATACAATTAGTACAATAACGCAAAATTGTAGTCAATTGCATTAGAACGATAGATGCACGCATACGAAATTGTAGCGGAGTCACTGCAACATGAATCGATAACGATAATTAGTCATTTTTATATAACTAGTGCAATGTCATGATTGGTAGTTATCAAAAAATGGTCTGAGTAATAACCATTCTGGGATCAAATGAGTCTTGAGTGTTGGGTGTTTAATTAGAATACTATTAGTTGATGCACTCGTATTGATAGAAATGAACACACTTAACAAGTCAGTTGTGAAGTTAGGTATATTGACCATAAAACCATACGTAGTACTTTTTTTATGCATCCTCAGATTAATTTAAATGAGTTTCTCTTTCTACACTTTTTGTACCTTACAGGCACTATCCGATCGGACTTGTATTTGATATGTGTGCAGATACAGTGGACATTCCATGGAAGATAACAGTTCATTTTAGTGTATGTGGTCGATATAAATCATGTGTATTTATACTTGCTACACACTTATAATCTGACAGTTATCTTTTACTACTCAGAATTATTGTTGGTTGGCAAATCACTAAAATTGATCACAACAATATCACTATTTTTGCGAATCTAAAATCGGCACGTAGTAAATAAATATAGATAATACTGATTGGTATTTCTATGGCATTGTAAAGTCTTTTAAAATGTTGTTTATCTGAGTTATTTGGTATTATATGGGTCTAAAAAACAATGTATTCTCAAATCAATCATTTTCAAATCAGCATAAACATAACCAGAATTCTCCACCTTTTAATAAGCAGTTCCTTAATTTATGTACTAAGCTGCGCTGCAATTCGCATCATTTCCATTTAATATTTTAATTCCTATATGGTACTTTTTCTCTCTACTTAACTTTAGTATACTCACTTAATTGTAGATAAATTACTTCATCGAAGTCAAGTAGTTTTCAAAGATGAACATTTCAACTTTAAAAAAAGAAGTTATTGTGTAATCTCCACAAGTTTCCTATGCTAATAATAAGTTAAGGTTAAAAGCTATTAGTGTTTGTGACAATATGAAGTTTGTAAAACATAAAATATTCGGTCATTAAGGTGCGAAGGGTAACTGTAAGTACACTGAATCGGAAACTAAAAAGTATGTTATGCGAATAATAATCAAGAATTCTCGGTAAAAAGAATTCTGTGTAACAAAATAACCATAGGAAATTAGAATATGTTTAATCAATAAGTAACGGAAATAAAAAAAGGTTAAGGTCATGGAAACACAATAAATCTAACTGACTTCTGATATACATAACTCTGGTTTAATCGAATATTTGTCTTTGTGTGAATTAGATTCAGACGTTGGCTTGTGGGAATATTTAAGTGAATCTTGTAGGTTATATCAAATGAATGATCCAAGGTTAACTGTCAATAGTCTCTTAAATTTCAAAGATCTACACTGTTTTGATGGACAACGAAACTAAAAATAGATCTTGATAAATAATCTAATTACCCGTCTCACTCCAGAGAAGCACTGAAGTTGTCCAGTTGTAATAAATCATCTCATGCAGAAATAATAGAAACTATATAAAATTTCTTTCTTATTGGTTTTTCCAGATAGTTTTCATGTTTATCACTAGTTATATACACTTGAGGTTCATGAACAGCATTTTCTTTGGAGCTGTGCGAATTATTTTACAAAGTCCTATGTGATATTTTCTCCCCGGAAATTCACCTCATCTTGTAAACATTTTGGTGAACAATTTTTTATCATATCATAAACAAGGAGAGTGAATAGGCTTTCACTTCACTATTAAGATCCACTCTTAAAGCGTATTTGTTGACTAGTGTAGACTTGTCATGCACTAATCTTGCTAGTGTCTAGTCATCCCTTTTAGTGTATTAAACATCATAAACAGAAATATGGAAGTCTCTGCCTCTGCATCAGTGGGCCTCAACATACACAAAGGAAAAAGCAAGGTCCTCAAACACAACACGGAGAACACCAACTCAATCACAATTGATGGAGAAGTTCTGGAAGATGTGGAGACTTTCATGTACTTGGGAAGCATCATCGATGAACAGGAAGGATCGGATGTGGACAAAGCAAGGGCCGCATTCCTACAATTGAAGAAGATATGGGACTCAAAGCAACTGTCAACCGGTGTCAAAGTCAGAATCCTCAATACGAACGTCAAGACAGTTAGTTCTATTGTAAGGAGTCGAAATTCGGAGATCTACAACCGTCATCAAAAAGGTATAATCAATTATAAACAGTTGTCTACGCAAGATACTCAATATCCTTTGATTGGATACCATCAGCAACAACCTGTTGTGGGAGAGGACAAACCAGCTTCCAGTTGAGGAGGAAATTAGGGAAAGACGTCGGAGGTGGATAAGACATACATTACTTAAATCACCTAACTGCATCACGAAGCAAGCGCTAACTTGGAATCGTGAAGGGAAACGGAAAAAGGAAGGCCAAAGAACACTGGAATCGGAAGCAGACATGAAAAGAATGAATAGCAACTAGAAAGAACTGGAAAGGGTTGCCCAAGACAGGGTTGAATGGAAAGTGCTGGTGGGTGGCCTATGCTCCTCAACGAGTGGTAACGGGCGTCAGCAAGTAAATAATATTTTTTCATCGTAAATCGCACTTAATAAAATACTTCGGAGTTTTATGATTTCAAATTTGTCAACTGTTCTTATTTTCTTACGGTATATTATTTTAGAATTATCCGACTGACTTGCTTTTATCCCCACCGGTAAGTCGACTAGCTGTTGAAGCACATTTCCTGTCGATGATTAAAGAAGCCGATGCTTTAAAGCATCGTAGCTACGTTATGAATCAAATGCAAGCTAGAGATCATCGGCAATTATGGAATGGCTTACTACACTTTCGATATGACCAATTTTGGTCGATCAATAGCAAATTAATGGAGCCTCTTCCACAAAATACCAAGGGTAAGTGTTCTTATATCTCGCTACAGATGTTTAATATTAAGTCAGCTGAATAAGAAACAGATTTCTTCGCTTTCACACTTTACGCGTCGTGGTACTCTAGATAAAACTTCCGCAAACCTAACACTAATATCCTTGTTTTTGATAGTGCTATGAAATAGCACTTCAGTTTATATACATCGAATTGCTTTACATTGAATGATAATATTATCTAATATTCCCTTGATTTTAAGCTGCATGCTCTGGTATCTGAAATTATTTACATATCTTGGCAGGATACATTTTACTATTGAGACTTTGGTTTTGTTACTAATCTCCCTTTATTTGTATCATCTCGGTGGAGTGATGTCTTAGTGTTTAGGGCGTCCAACTTTTAAGCCACCAAATCACAGGTTCGAACCTTACTTCAGCTACTCCGATTCGGGCAACCGGGCAGTATTGTTAACCCTCACACTTGGAGTGTGTGGCCCATACCAAAGTTTCTAATGAATAAACCAAATTACCTCTTTTTCATTTATGTTGTTCTTTTTATAAATATCCCAACATTTCTGTGTTTTCATGAAGTTTATTCATACAAATCGGTGTATTTTTTCTGAGGTTATAAGCTTTTACTTACATGCTCTATCTTGTCATACAACAAGCAGCTTTTACAAACAAGGAAATGTAGGTTCAGTAGATATCGAAATTATTTATCTGTTTGCGCGATTAGGAGTGAACTTGTCTGTAGTCAAAGAAAACAAAATGTAAAGATACTCAAGGGTATGAAATTGTTACTCATTTAAATGACTGTTACCGGAATCCACTTCTGTAAATTCAATGGGAATACTGTACATATTTACCCGCTACCATAATTCTTCATTTCTGACCACTTTCATGGGTGTCTTTTGCCTTTCTGTTGACTGTTACAGCTGATATTAAAGAGTGTATGGTCCAGATTGTACACTGCCCAAAAATGATCGAACGGAAGAGAACCAGTATCATCTTACGCATAATGTGTTAGCATTGGTTCATCGAAATTTCGTATATTACTGATTATTAGTGTTACCTCATAATTTCCCATTTATTAAAAAAGAAGGTATCTAATTAATGTGAAAGAATTTTTCGTTTTGGCGAATCCATTGAATCACTATGAAAACGTCATCTGTGTCATTGCTTACAAATCATGTCTCTTTTTATTTTCGCTTAAATTAGTTCAATAAGCCGTTGTGGATCATTGATAATAAAAAAGAATCGACCTCATGAAACGAATATTTTTACTACACTGTATAAATGTGAACCAAAAATTATTTTTAGTCTCAACAAGAATTTTACAGATGAGTGAAAACTCGGAGGTTTTGTACTTTTCCATTTCATCATGACACATTCTACATCATGGCATAGACACATGCATAACAGCGAATGTGGCTGTTTGCAAATGTACTCTGTACTCTGGTCTCAAACATTTTATTCGACTCAGTGGGCTAATCGTAGAAAAATTTAACTACTTTCTGATTAAAATGACTGTTTTCACTCCCAATTGAATATTTTTTCTGCTCCCAAATCATATTATTTATTATACGTTGTTTCTCTTAATATTCATTTTTAATTTGAAGTATGTCCTATATTTATTACCACGTTTTTCTTCAATAGTCTTTTCGAAAACTTAAAAGTTGAGGTGATTTGTGCTATTGTTTATGCCATGTTTTTGAATCTTATCATATCTCTTATTTGTTCCTAATCGTCATCAATAATTTAATTCTTACAATATAAACTTAGTGCCCGATTTCCTACATATGGCACAGAATAGGAAACTGTTGAGATCGTTTCAGTTCCTAAATGTTAAATTTTATAAACTTCTATGTATTGGACACCAGCTTCGCTTTATTGTAGTACATTATATTGACTAAATCAAACAACAGTAATAAATATATTTGGAAATTTTTTATTGTATTCGAGTAAGTAGATTTTTTAAACAGACATTACTACGATAAATCTGATCATAACAACATTACATGCTGTGCATCAAGAAAAATCATGTTTAGCAGTGTATAAAAAAGTCCTACATTTACCCACTCACGCTTAATTTAATCGTAGCACCTTACTTGTCTTAAAATACATATACGTATTGAAGAGTATTATGAATTTCTTCTACACTATTTACTATTGTGAGATGTTCTCATTCACCTATCATCTTTAGATCTTCCTTTAGAGGAAATGTCTGCCCCTGGAATTCCAGAAAATAAACCATTGTCTTCAAGTCTCAATAACATGTCATCTTCAAAGTGTAGAACTTTTCGTTACATTCCATGTCGTCTGTATTGTGTTTCTGAGAATTCAAGTTCCACACCATCTGGTTTCATTCAAAAACTTATTCGTCCTTTAAATGATGACGGTTCGCTTACTTCACTTCAAGATGCTATCGAAATTCTTTTGCATACAAATAAAAATCCACTTGTACAAAATACCAAACCAAAAGGTAATCTTTGTAAGTATTTATATATTATTTCACTTTTTAAATAATTGTAGAGGCTAATTTCCTCTATATCTGACTCCGATAAATAGTATCCTGCTAACTGAGTATTTAACACGGGCTAAATCTTCTAGTATAATTATGGATTTACTCTAGATTATTCAAAAGCCTGAACACCGGTTGTAGAGATAGTTTATTGTAAAATATTAGTAAAATCCACAAGCGTGCAGAAGGCAAGCACACTGGGAAACGAGTGAGACAGTGTGTCTGTAGGAGTGGATAAACTATTGATTGTCTGTGTTACAACCAATGGGAGAATATATTTAAATATTGATGTGCAGACACGCGCTCAATCAGACTCACACATAATTTTACATAGTGGAATAAATGTCTAAATTACAGTGAGCAGACAAGTAATACAATAATATTAATGGTTGAAATTGAGTCAGTTGTAGCTAGACCACCATGGAAAACCTGGAAGCAGTGGACGGCCGTTTCGTCCTAATGTAGGACTCCTCAACAGTGCTCATCCACGATCCCGTCTCACGAGATTCGGACCCAGGACCTGTCACTCTCGCGCCTATTAATGTCAAATCGATCTACTTAGAATAAGTAATTTCATGATAAAATCACATTAATAACTAAGATTGTAAATATGTCATTGGTTAACTACTTACTTTATGCCATCGAATTCGAGTAATTAGTTTATTAATGCTACTTAAAATTCAAACTTTATTTTACTTTCAAGCACTTAGCAAATGATATTCATGCTCTACTAACTACTATGCCTGTAAACCAAGCAATGTAGTCTTACCTTTCTGTGACAATATTCGAACTTGTAATAACGTATATGTTAATTGGCCATTTAGCCTAATGTATATCCTGACTTTTGTTACGCGTTTGGTTACCTTTTTCACTAAAACAAAATTGCTAAGCATTATGGAGAATAAAAGATTGTATTTTATTTAGTTTTGTACAGATCGAGGTCAAAACGTCTCTATTGAATAGAAATGTGATCATACTCCCGAAATCATGTTCTTCGAATGTTATTAAGGATGAGTTACGAAAATGTCGATAATTCGAGTAAAGCATGTACTTCATTAATTACAGCCTTTTCTTATTTAAATGATTAAAAAATACACAGGAAATGAAAGCGTACTTTAAAAATATACGTTACTTTTCCTTCAAAGCACTTTCGTGCTTTATGATCCCATTTATCCAACGTGATTCAAATAAGCTTCGTCTATACAGCTGACTGATGTACTTACATTTGTAAATCATGTTTGTCTTATCCAATATGGTCTGATTCTTTTGATTTGTAATTTTGATGTAACTATATTGTACCATTTTTGTCCTTCAGGGTATCTGTTTTTCATCCATGGTATCACATTACCCCACGAAACACCGATGCAATGGATCAGCGAACACTTATCCTATCCTGACAATTTTGTGCATGTTGTTGCACGTCCTCAAAGCCATTCTCATCGAATTAAAATTCATAATCCTTCATACATGTAAATTTTTCCTAACATTACGGTATATTGTCTTTCAAGTACTTTGAATTTGAATTTTCCAGTCCCAACAATATATGTTACAGGGTCGATAACTTTGGTATCTTTATACAATTATGATGATAATAAATTTTTACCTAATCTGCTTTCTTATCTCTTGTAGTTTTATTGAGATTAAACCAGGAATGTGTCAAACATTAAATTAATATATTAGTACAAAAAATATGTATTTATAAGTATTGTACATTCCCAAGCAAAATGATTCGGCATTGTAAATTACAGGACTGTAATTACAAATCTTATTGGAAGATACCTAGAAAAAAATACTTTTAAAGAAAGTGATAGTAGTTCGTTGATCTGCAATATTAAATATAAATTGCTGCGATATTCTAGTAACTATTTTCTGTTTTATCGTAGTTTAATATCATTGGTAAATCACACATTATGAATCATAAGGTGGTGATGTTTGCGTCACCATATATTTTCCATTTACATATTTTCACTGGATATCGTGTTAGTCCGAGTTATCATGCATCCGAATCCATGGTGTATATTACGTAGAAAACAATTGTATATAACGTATGAACTTACATTAACTTTAACGTAATATTGTATCGCACACTCACTACTAGATTTCATGCATCTTATTACCTAAATTTTATAATATCTCAATAACCGTTATTCAATTTGTACATCTTACTAAACTATTGTGTCAGAAGTGCATACGATGTCGTAAGAGGAATTCGGAAATAATTTTTTCGGCACACCCGAAGTATGATAAAATTTTATAAGGATCGTGTGGAGGATATGATCCTAAATATCACCTGTCGTATTTAGGCGTGTATTGCGTATACTAATAATCTTTGACATTGTCATGTGGTTATAGTAAACAAATACCATTCAACAAGTTTGCCCGTTACCATTGATTACGTGTTGTGAAGATCCCAACTATAAAATGATTTTGAGTAGGCTTAGCTACACTACTAAAATAAAACGTAGAAACTCACATGATATTCCATTGATTTGTCTTGCCAAGTTAGTCAGTAGTTCAGGATAAGAGTTAGGAAGGACAGATAATAACAAGCTTTAGCAGAAGACAAGGTGTAATTGGACGATGAATGCTGTTGAACATATTGGATGTGAAATAAAGACGCGAAGACGATTTTCGATACCTGTGACATAGATATTAGCAAATCATTAGGAAATTTAGGCATAACCTCATTATCGAATGTAAGACCCCATTCTTTCAGAATCACCTCAGTATGTAACAAATTTTGACTTCTGAATTACCCTTTTTTCAATTAATTTAGTTCATTCATGGCTATTTTCCTGTTATTTGCTAGGTACAGTTTGTTATGTTCAAACATGGTTCGGCAGGTCTCATAAAAACTCACATGGCTTAATGTGTTAACTGTTCCTTATGGTATTTGGTGCTACCATATAACTTGCAGGAATGGTAATCAAAACTGTTTTTTTTAATCTGGACTCAAATAACAGCCGTGACATGATGCTAACAGTTGGATAGTAAGAAAATAATTAGGCTCAGTTGTAAAAAGATAAATACGAGTATAACAAAAGTTAAATAACTTCATGATCTCTTTTCTCAGATTCTTAAAACTACAAACTATACAACTTTTTGTTAATGTTACTGTTAGGATAGTCGGAAAAATATACCATTAATTATCGTGTTAAGTCTATGGTGGCCTTGGAAGTCATTGGTTGTTAATTGATCACAGTATTCCCATTACCCTGCTGATTCAGAAAATGACTATCCTTCCCGATCAATTGCAGCTACTACTTGATCGCCAGCAGCAGCGTTTCAGAGAGAGCCAGTTGAATGTTTTGGACTATTTACGCACACGGTTGGTAAATCTTCCATGTTTCGGAGGTGCAACAGAAGTTGGTAAATTCATTTCTCTTCTGCAGACTGATCTGGAAAACAACTGCAGAACATATGAAGCTGTTTATAAGAGCCTCTGTGAATCCCGGACGACCAGTGATGTAAACGAGACAGTTATTCATGATCCGCCCAGTTGTCCAGAAATGTCTAATTCTGACACATTCCCTGTCGTGGGTTCAAATCTCACTGTGCCTGAAACATGTGAGGTATCCAGCTTACAAGAAGAAACTCTCGTGCCAGAAAATGTTTCCCGTGCATCAAATAATGGTCAGAAATCTAATACGAATTTCAAAGATGCTGTTTGTTTTAGTGACCTATTATCCAGTGATGGAATTTTGAAGAGGTCTGAAGAATATGTTGCACAAGAATCAAACCTTAATGACCTAATGTCTGGTGTCGCTAATCCTCATCATCTAGTCAGTTTTAGTGAACCCTCTACTCAATACGCTAAATATGCTTTAAATAGAATCAGACTAACTGTTACTTGGGTATATGAGGACCCGACGTTATTTCGCGGGGGAGGACGAACGCAGAAAATTTCAAAATCCGGATATCAACTCCGGATCTTCAAAAAAAAGGGGTGTTAGGATAGTCGGAAAAATATACCAATAATTATCGTGTTAAGTCTATGGTGGCCTTGGACCTTAAATGTACATTTCTTATTGGTCGATGTTTATTTCACTCGTTAAATATTTTGTAAATGTTGTTTCCTATTTTATGGTACGATATGGTTTGTTTGTTTGGTATATAAATAGAGTATGTCTGAAATAAACGATCTGGTCTGATCTGCTTTGATTCGGAAGCTGGTATTGTGTTCTGGACTCAAGTGGAAGGGCTCGTAGGACATAGGACCAATAAGGACGCTAGACTGCCCACACCGGTTGAACGTCATTGGTTGGTCTAGTGTGAAGATTCGTATAAGTCGTACTCGGATTGGTAGATAAGTCGTGTGATAGAAAAGTTAGACATTCAAGGTCATAACAATTGGCGACGGGGACTTTGGAAATTCATTTGCCCCACGGCAATTTTTTTTAAAAAACCCCCACCCACCCTTTTTAAAAATGTTTTTTCAACCCAAAATTGCACTATTTTTCATCCCGTTTCGTCCAATGAAATGGCTAGTTTTGAAGTTCGTTTTTAATTTGTTAGTTATGTTTTGTGGGATTGCTATAAAACATCAGTACTTGTCGACGAAGTACATTTTAATCATCATTATGGAGGACAGTAACGTGCCTAGTACAAGCGCTGTTGTTTCTCACGTAACAGAAATAGAGGAAGTCTTTTCGACAACGTTGTTTCTCGTTGCGTTCCCATCGATTGAAGCGTTGAAGTCCGCTATCACAAATTATGAAAGATCAACTTACTGTCATTATGTAGTTCGAGATTCGCATTTGTGCAGAAATGAAAACTCGTACATTAAATTTGTGTGCTGGAGACATGGCCGTATAACATCTAGCGGTTCGTCACAGCGGATTAGACGGAGGAGGTAATTTTATAAATGTTATTAACATTTTTTGTCATGAAGGGCTTCCATGAACACTGAATGTCCGGCCTTCATGTATTGTAAGATTATCGACGGCTACTGGACTGTTGTACGTGGGAATGTGCATCACAATCACGAGTGCAATTCCCTAAGGTACCAAGGAAATTCATGGGTGCGCAGGTTAACAGAGGCCCAGTTTGAAAATGTGCGACCGCTGCTAATATCTGGTACTGCTTCATTCCACATTAAGAATTATGCTTACCATTCTTATGGGAAACTACTGACTGATCAAGATATCTATAATATGCGGTACAAAGTGTTCTCACAGGCGAACATTCCTGGTAAGCCATTTGCCAATTTATAATGTAAACGATAGGTGATTACGGGAAATTGAAAGCGCACATAACATCTTTGGGTGGGCGATGCGAATACGAATTAGACGATGAGAACTGTCTATCGTACTTTTTCTTCAGCACTGGTGATCAAAAGATTTTTGCAGACCGTTTCGGTGATGTTATTGGTTTGGACGGAACATACAAGACGAATAACGAGAATATCTATTTCTATCAGGTCGTAGCCCTGGATATGAATTTGAAGGCGATACCCGTTTGTATTGCATTTATAAGTCGCGAAACATCGACTTTGATTTCTCGATTCCTGTCGTTCTTCCAAGGGTTAACCAACAGTCGACAGGTGGTAGGCATTGTGACAGATGATTCACCTGCAATAGCTGCTGCCATCATGCAGGTGTATCCCAATGCTCACCATATCTTGTGTCGCGTCCACCTTGTTCGCAATGTTATAAAGAGGGTAAGTGTTTCGTTCATTAACATTAACCCAGTAACCTTAATTGTAGAGGGTACGATCAGAAGTGATACAACTATTTTTTCGCCTGATGTTTACTCAAACGGTTGAAAGGTAAATCAAAAGCAACATAACATTATTTTGTAGTTTTAACAATGTATTATCCTTGATCGAAATATCGGACGGAACGTTTGCCCGATATGTCAGAGACCACTTACACAAATGGTCTACAGCTTTTCGACCATCAGCAACGCTACTTCAACTCAATAATACGAACTTTGTTGAGACAAGTCACCGAATTTTGAAGATGCATCAACTGAGTCGAAAAACACCTGTGCTGAGATCTATATTTAGTGTGCTACTTCGCGTTGGATATTGGATGGAAGCAAGATTACAGAAATATACATCAGATTGCCGGGTAAAAGCCAACATCGGCCAAGAGCCAGCAATGCGTGGACTTCAGGAACGACTGACACCAGCTGCATGTCAGGTACTGAGGCGGCACTTGCGCACTCCTTTGACGGAGTTTGTAATGTCTGCTGACTTATTCACGGCTGTGGACGCAACAGGAACTTTACAACGCCGTTGATGCATCGAGGAAATGTCGATTTGGATGAAACGTTAAGTAACGACGAGGATGACGTAGTTTCTATAAACTCAGAAGAGTTAACAGAACGGGACATCCAAAATGAAGAAGATGAAGAGAACCGTTTGTGTGACATCTGTAATCTTGCACAGCCGCCCTATGAAACTGGTGATGAAGTGGGTTGGGTTTTCTGTCCTTGTGAAGCTATGTTTCATAGATTCTGTGCTTATGACC